ATATCATGGTTCTTTACAATGTATATGGTAATGTCAATTACACACAATAGACCAATAATTTACGTAACTCCATTAGTCTGAGTTATAATCGTTTTACACCCATACACTGTACACATTAACTTTTTTTTAGAAAGATAAAGCATTTTAGAGGATTGATATTAACAAGGACTTAATTTAACCAGTATTTTGATTGAGAGATAAAGATTGCTATCAGTTATTTAAGTTGAGAAAAAAAAAACATTGATATTTATTGTCTGAAAACAATAAAAAGATGGCCATTTCCTAAATGTAAACACCTCAAATCGATATACTTTATGAATAGGGGATTGACAAGATTCCAAAGTTTTTCAATTAAAATCTTATCACTACATTTCAAGTTTTTTTTTTATGTTCAACGTTGCTAAATTTTCAACCAAACGAAAAATATTTAAAGAAGTTGAATCTTATTGCAAACTATCTTTAACGTTTATATTTGTCCATTGTTTTTTTTTTCCGAATAAGGGCTGGACATTTTTCAGACTCCTTAAAAGCTTAAAATTACATTTAACTTTTGAATTGAAAGAAAAAATATTTTAACAATATTTAACTTTGATCTAATCTTAAACATTTATTTATGAAATAGGAATCTTTTGTTCAAAAAAATATATGATATCAAGTTAAATCCAAGGAGGTTTCGTGGTAAGTAAATGAGTTACATTGAGTGTTATACAATGCAAGACTGGTAACTGTTGCCTAGTGATTGGGCGTTCGCTTTGTGATCGGGAGGCCTGGGTTTGATTCTCGTTTGACACATCGCGTCATATTTAAGACGAAAACATGTAGTGAATGTTCCTTCGCCAAACGCCCAGCATTAGACGTGAAAGTTCTTTCGGATAAGACATTTAAAATCGACGTCCAGATTCACTGTAGATATTGGCACGATAAAGAACTATCACTGTTGAATGGTCCTGAATGCTGAGTATAGGTCTAAATCTGAAGCCCTTCACTGCTATATGGTGATATCACTACATGAGTGAAAAATACTCGATTTGAACGTAAAGCAATCTACAATGAATGATTCATCATGAAATGCAATAAGAAGCATTTTATACAATTCAAATATTCAAACACCTAGACCATCAGACAAATATGTCACCTTTAACAAAAACAAATATATACATAATTATTACTCGCTGCGTTTTTTATGCATCAAAGACTGCCTGTCCGTGTAAGATAAATGTAAATATTTTGAGGTTTTTCTAGAAAATCGGTAGAAGAAATATAGCATTTTCTAAATTTGAGAAAACTAATTTAAATTTCTTAATAAAAATTTATAAGTATTACATGTACCCTTTATACAGATAAAAAGACATCTAAGTTATCAGATGTTTAGTGAAGAATAAATATAATAAATGTCATTCAATGAAATGACCAAATTATATACTATACCTTTAACTCCCTCGTGTAAATAAGTTTTATTTTATATTTTCCCTCTATGATAAATTTAAAGAATAAATTGCACATAATGTAACAACTTTCAGATTAGAGACTTTCCATTTATTTATACAGGATGTGACTTCCTCGAAAATATGAGTTCTTTCTTGAATCTACAAAATTAATATTTCCCCAGCTTAATAGCACAAAATTAAAGCAATATCTTTCAATATGTTCAGGATATAATTATTTGCACAAATTTCCCAAATTTGTCTTTGTCAACCTTTTCAAATGAAACTTAATCATCCGATGCCTTCAAAACGTGACATTAATAGGTAGTTTAGTTATCAATGAACAAAATAAGTTTTGCTTGTAGATATTATTTTAATGAAATGTCAGATAGAATAAAATAGGGCCTTGGTATTTGAGATCGTATCGAAAAAAAGTTTATGAAGGTCAGTATTCTTAGTTGACTTCCAACCTTTTATATAAATATAACATAATAGATGGGTGAAATATAACTGTACCTTCGATGTTTTTTTTTTTTTTTTTTTTAGTTTTTTTTTTCAGACATATGTACAGTACAATTTTTGACTGAAGATTACAAAACCCATAATGGGTAACTGCGAACAAAGAAAGTATAAAGACTATGTGCTTCTTTCTGCTAAATGAAGAAAAACACTTTCAACTACCCTAGTATCTAATTAAAAAATATCTCTGGACATTTTTTTTAATTTAAATTTTAATTTTTTTTTTTTAAATCAGGTGGGTTGCAACTTCTAGGAAAAATCTTTTTAGATGTATGCTACATCAATATCAATCGAAAAATGATTAATAATCGTAACCTGCAATGTTCAAATTCAATTACATATTACAATCATTTTACAGGTTTAACTTGAGATGTTAATAGAATTCAAAAAGATCAATAACAAAGATTACTGCCGCTTCAGGTTAGCTGTGGTCCAATGAAACCAACAATACGCCAGTACATCCAGTAGTCCATTACCCAAATAGCAGGCAGCATAAGCTAGAATTCATATCAGAAAGCTGAGTGTGCAAATTAAAAATCAGCATGGAAAGTGTATGTAGTAATAACCCTGTCTCATACTGCAGCGCATCTTTTATCATCTTTTCTCACAGTGTTACTGGAAATTAAAGGTTTTTATAATGAAAGGCCAAACCTTTGGCATGTAAATCTTCACACTTTGTGCTTTGTGCACAAGTTCAATCGTGCATTCCACCATATTTCAAATTGAATCTTCGTCCTGCATTTCCTACAGATATTCCAAAAACTGTTGCTGCCAAACTTTCCAACTATAAACAAACCTAACAGTGCGCAAGTATAGCATCTAAAGCAAAATTCTCTAAAATAATAAGTATTCTTATTATTATTCTTCTTTCAACTACCTTCCCGCATTACACGTCATTACCACTGATGTCAACATAGTTTAAGATAAAGAACCAAAAGCATCATTTTAAAAGGTCTTAATTTTTTTTTTCAATTGCGACAGAACTGTTTGGCTAAAAGCGAAAGGGGAGACCTGAACTCTTTGAAAAAAAAATGAATAAATCGAATACTGTTCCTTGTCTCCAAATATTTCATTAGAAAGTCGTTTTTTTTAATACTATATTAAACATGTGAGTACGATGTACTGACCTAAGCCTCCCAAATAATGAAATAAATTTTCATTGCAAGAGTTCAAAGGTTTCTTAAATATTGTCTGGAAATAAAAATGTTACAAATAGAATTACAGCTATTCGGGCAGATGGGCAAACAGACAGTCAGACCAAAATTATCTTTCACTTTCAATGAAAGCGGGGGCGGTTAATGCACCATTGTAAATGTTTGGTGGCTAAATCTCTATATAGAATTAAAGTAAAACTTGTAGAAGCAAGATTAAATGGGGGAAGTCTGACTCAACAACTACTGGTGGAGTATGTATTCTTGCAGAGAAGTAGGGGAGTTTAACTGTAGAGTAAAACTCTATGGTTAAATCTCACTCTAGAGCATGACTTTCGGAGGAAAGGCTATGTTATTCTACAAAAACATGTCCAGAAAATGCTCTACCAATCCCTTATCCTTACAAAAACTTTCAGTAAAGTAGAAATTTCAGACGTACTTTTTTACAGCATATTCTTGTTGTGGTGCAAATAAGGTTTTCAAAATAATTAAAGAAATTTTAAGATCACCAAATTTTTCAAAGGCAATTACATTAACACGTACGACTTTATACAGCCATTCCTCACAATGAATTAGAAAATAAGTTTTTTATGATATCATAGAAAACTGCTTTTTCAATGAAAATGGCACTCTGAAATCTTTAATCTTGTGATTAATAATGAATAAAATTACATTGTTAAAATCGCTCTGCTTCTTTATACAAGTCCTCCCAAGTTTATATAATAAGGATGCTGGGGTTCCTAATTGACAAGATATATGTCTTTAAAGACTACGTCTTTCAACAAACTGCTGGACTTCCGATAGGTACTAAATGAGTTCTTTATTAATCGATCTTTTTTGATATAAAGTGGATATTATTCAAAAACTTCTTCATTAGAAGAGTAAAACATTTGCTGTGGCTTTCAAGTCGACATTGAGATATATAGAAAATCACACTGCTGTTGTGATCTCGGACAATTTATGAGCCCGGAGAGAGCGGGCCGAGACCATCCGAGGGCTGATACCAGGGACAAGATCAAAACATTGGTGTGATGTTGTTTATATCATATATCTTAAACAAAAGACTATAAAAGAACAAATATTAAGATATTTTTCCCTACAAATACTTTTAATAAATTTTGTTGCAAGGAATGAAATCAGAGCTATCTTTCTTTATTTTCGATGTTCATCGAGTAGGTAAAGATGATCCTTGACGATGTGATTAATAGTGTAAATAGAATATGCCTGATTTTGGTTATTAAAAAGACTTATCTTGGTGTTTTGAATTTCACAATCAACGCTTGTTATATTGACCTTGTTAACAAACATAACCTATCATTGGGTTGCTTTGGCTAACGTATTGCATACTTAATGTTAGGCTTTGATTTCATATACTAAATTTGACTACAGAATGATCTTACGGTGGGTGTGTACGGTCAAAAGGGGGTTATTAACTCCTTTTTGGCCTGACGAATTTTATGAATGAATTTTTTTTTGCTGGGACAAAAATATAACAAAGGCCATGAATCAAATCAAATCGATTAAGTCAAGAAATTTTACGGAAAAAAGGGTCAAATTTTTCACCATCAAAGAAGATCGATGATTTAAATGTCAGGCAAAGTCATATCAAGTTAGTTGAAAAGGTTGTTTATTTTTCCTACATGCCTGTATCAAAAACACTAAAATATGTGAAATAAAATATCTTATTTCAGTTATCTTATAACAATTATGAAATTACCTCCGTTTCAATAATAGCAGTTAAAATATCCAGTGCCAAATCACTACGTATGAACATTGTTAATCATACTTTGAAATCCACGTACTTCATATATGCCATTATTCCTTATTTGTTTCAACATTGTGCGTAAAAAATCTTATAAACACCTCCATATTCTCTATAAGCATACATATAATAAAATGCTATAAATACAAAAAATGTTTTTATTCAAGCAAAAACAATTTTTTACATCACTTATACTACATATCACAGCTTTTGTATTTAAACCAATTTATTTTGAAAAAGTGTTATTTGATTTGTAACGTGAACTGTATATTATATAATGTACAACACTTCTTTATCATTGTTTAGTTACATGGAACCTGTTTCAATATAGAATGATAATTTTCTGTTTAAAGCGACAGTGTTAGAGATAGTTTGAGGTTATTTTACTTTTCAGAGTTAATTATAATCAGGTCGTGTGTTAATTTTCCTGACAAATCCCTTTAGGAAGGTGGCCAGGACAATTTACACTCTTTGTTGTGGCAGAAACTTCCGTCGTCATTGATTCACGAGTTGTAGTAGTTTGTTTTTCGGTTATCGCGCTTTCATTTCTTGGCGTTGAAGGATTTAAACCTAGTGTTTGAGATAAAATTGTCGTTCCTGTTGTTCTCTCTGTAGTTGCATCTGATGTAGAATCATCAACGAGAGTTGTTATCTCGTCATAATCAGTAGAGGGTGACGTCACATGAGAAGATGTTTCTGATTCAGTCTCCATCTCTGCTGATGTAGCGGGAAATGAAGTCACTACAGATGTTGTGGTTACTGTTTTTGTGATAGTTGTTGTTGTCTTGGTAATAGGTGAGACAATCAAATCTTGTTCACTTGATCTAAGAGACTTCGTGATTTCGCCAGAATCGGAGGAAACGGTGTTCTGAAAAACAACAAAAAACAAAATACAATGAAAAATTCGTTGAAATTTCTAAAAAAAAAAAAACTAAAATAATCCATCATTAAAATCGTGCCCATTAAACTTATCAACAAACAAAAATACGAAATCTTCTCTCATAAACATTACTGAGTTGATTATAATTTAGATATATTTACCTGTATGAAATATGAGCATTGTATTCCTTCTTTTCCGCAGGTTTCTTTGGAAGCAAGTTTGTAGATTGTACATGTCTTAGAGAAAGCGATATCACAAATAATGAATGTAAGACATCCTGCGTGTGATCCACATTTCAGTCCGCACTCACCGGACGTAATTACACGTGATGGACCGGAAGTAATGTCAGTGAGATAACACAGTTTTGATATTGGTAATGTAGAAATGAGGCCTACCAATGAGAGTAATATATCAACTATGGTCGATATACAATACATCTTCATTTTCCAAACGATTTTTTGTCCAAAATCTTAAAATGACAGAGATGTTGTTTAATGCAGTAACTAAGTCGTTGAACTTTTTTTCTTCGTTGATTTCCTTCTTTTCTTTCTCAGCTTTTTAACGTTTTATCGTTTTCTCCTTCAGATGTCGTCTATTTTCCTAAGATTGCTGATACCCCACCTATCATTCAATGTGTTTCTCCTGGTTTCGTTTTGTTCCTAGATTGTTTTTGGATCCTGCCCAGCTCCTCAGCATGAAAGTCAGAAACTTTTACTCGCCGTGATTGCTTTGGTACAATTGGATAAGATGTTTAACTAGTCGGGAGAAAAGAACAAGTTTCCCCTCTATATCGTTGTACGATAACCTCGTAGTTTACTGATCGACCAACTGAAGAGTCCGATATTTATAGCAATGAAAAAGCGTGGAAAATTATAAAAGTTTGCCTTGGGCCAACGCTGACAAACGAGAAACCAACTATTAAATAATATTAGACAACCATTTTAATCTCATCCTAGATGCAAATTTCTTTAGTTCGGATAATACCGGCTATTTTTAAATTTGTACTTATCAATGCAGCGGGCCGTTTTTCTTAAAGGTTAGATCCTTGCATTGTGGGTCAGATAAAATGACAACTGATATAGAGGTCATTTAAGTATGGGTTAAAATAAAGTGGCTTGTTCTGTTATTTGTACCAATTTAAACTCTTTTACATTTAAAGAAAAAAAGTCTAATTAGTCCATTAAAAGCTTAAAACATACTGTTCAGCATATATACAGACACGTTATAATTTTGTTATATCGTTTGAACCTTTATTCTCAAGAGTTATAAACAAAGGCTATAGTTGTATTGTCTTTTTATTTTTAATTAGAAGTATATAATGGCATGAATTCAAATAGTAGTGGATATTTGGTTTCTATTATTTGTTGCCAGCTTTTTTCTTTTTCATTGTAAGTGTATGAAAAAATGCAATTTGTCATGATCTTATTCTAAGTTTTGGGAGATCCAAAGCGAGATGTATGTACAATTTTTTTTTTTTTTTTTTTTTTTTTTTTTTTTTAACAGAGGGTCTCCGAATTTTCATGTACTTACCTTTTTGTTATTTTTGTTAGTTAAGGAATGAATTTAATAGATGCCCAAGTTATACTGTATAATCTGAGTTGGTATAGTTTACACTTTATAAACCGCGAAGTGGTTTGTAAAAAAAACATAAACTTTTCCAACCCAGGTCTTACCAGTATAATTTGGGTAGCTTTTTGATTTATTCTTTTTCATTTAATTTTCCATCATTACGTGAAGAAAATAAAACAATTCCTCCCTTTGAAAAATGTCTTCAAAATGTTCATATTTGAAAAAGTAACGTCAAGCGGTTAATGCGTTTTTGTGACGTAGGCAACAAAGGTTATACGATATAAACAGATTCTCTTATCCATTCAAATTGCGTGTTTCAACTAAAATTAAAGCATTTATAAATGACATATTTACATTCAATCTTAAGTTTATTTTGTTTTTGTAATGATTTTATGTTGTTTTACGTCCCATTCGAGAATTAATCACTCATATAGTCAACGAAACTGCGGGCAACAAACTGTTTAAACTTCAAATCAACCAAAAAAAAATATATTGAAAATATATTGAATTGATAATGATTAAAATGATAATCAACTGAATATATAATATCATGTGGCTGTTATTGTATATTGCACTGGAATATCACAAATTATTTTGATTATTCTATCATGTTCAAAGTCCTAAAAACTCTAAAACATCTGTTCAAAGTTGAAATAAAGATAAAATGACCTTGATATTTATTAACATTAACCGTATTATTGTTTGAGCCAATCAATTTTTACATGCCATATTATTATGGAATATCAGGACGCATCTATCAACCATTAATTTCTGTCATCTACTTTGATTTTTCGGTAAAATTATTCATTAGGAAGCCATTTATCATACACAAACATGAATGACGTCATTTTGACGATGATGAGAATCAACTGTTCGGTTTGTGTTGAACGATTTTTGATTTATTGGTTAATGGTTTATGATTTGGAGTGCAGATATGCAATATAATTTTCACTCATTGACATCTTGGAATAGCTAAGATTTGAAAAGCATTAAAAATGACGACACCACGTTTACCCCATTAATTGCTTATTTTTCTTGATTTATTTAATATTTAATGAATTAGATAATTAATATAAGAATTTTTTAATGAAATACCTACGCACCTTTTATTGTACCCATTCGAATCAATGTTATATGTATAACCCAAATTGTTTTTATTTCATTGGAAGTTGTCAACAGGATGTGATTAAACTTTTCCAATCAAAATGGTTTATGCTAATTGAAATTATTATTATATATTTTAAGTGGAATAAGGTGTAGCGTAATTTTGAGCTTAAAAACCATTTGTCTAGAAGTGAAGTTTACTTCTATATTTTTTTCTCTCTTTCTTTTTTTTCTTATCATTGAAGTCCTTGTCTATTAAGATTCACTGAGTAATTTAATACTTTGTAGATGTACTATTGTTTTCAATACACGTACATAATCAGTTCTATATCAGTATATATAGAAATGTAGTTAATAAAGAGATCAACAAGTTTGCGCATGGTATTTCATTTGACCTCTAGATCTGAACCCCTCGTCAGAAGGCGTGGCAAACTTTAAGAGAAATAGAGGCCAGAGGAATAAAAAAGAATTGTTCAAGACTTTGTTAAGAACATTTCTTCATGAATACATGTATATGCAATTTAAACTCTTTAAATAGAAAATAAAATATTATATATGCATCGGTTCAGTTAATTTTAGCTAAATTCATTATGACGTAATCAAAATAATATGAATTTCTATTTGAATTAGCTTTTCCAATGTCAAAATATGTCAGCTGAAATATTTTGATATAGAGTTTGACAACCAAAACTTGTTTGAGATTATTGATGCAATATGCATTACATTAATCTAACTCTCAGAGTTACGTAGCATATCCTGACTGAGTCGTTTAAATATTTTCACCATTAATCCACTTTTACTTCTCCATTTATGTTTCCTGAAATGATACTTTTTCTAAAAATAAATTTTCTAAATTTTAAAATTTTTAATTTAATTTTTAATTTTTAAATTTTCTAAAAAATTCTTATAAATCTTATTCATCGAATTGAAATAGATATCCTGTGTTCCCTTCTAAATGAAATATATTTCTTAACACGGAGATGGGAGGTTAACAGTCATAATGTCCATCAAATTATTGAAGAATCTTTCCTGAGGCTCTATGTATACGGCATGATTTCACATTGGTCTGAGGATTCTCAATGAAGAGTTCTAAGATGGTAATAAATATCAAATTTATTTAGTAATCTATTTCATAGAGAGGGGCAGAAAATATGACCGTGAGTTTAAACCCAGGTTATATGATTTTACATGAGTAATGACAATTAGTTCAAATTTCTTTTTGCTGTGAGCATAGTTCCAAAGTAAGACTTGAAAGATGTTATGTCAGCATATATATATTTTTTTTTTAGATAATTATGACTCCTTTTAAGAAAATTATAACAAATTGCGTGAAAGTGATTTGGACTTGTCTGATGATAATGATAACTTTTTTAGATTTTTTTTTCGACTTGTCAGATTTTTATGTAGACTTGCTAAAAGATATATTGTAAATTGGATGGAAACGTTCTCATGTGGAATTTTTAACAAGTAAACATAGACACCTGACAGATGATGGGAAAAATACGTACAGAATTGAAAAGGCGATATCAAAAAGATCTCAGAAGTCGACAAAATTATATGATGTGGTGGCAAAACTACAGTGTACATAATGTCATCACTGACTTGCTCTCTCCTTGCTTTTTGTGAAAAAAAAAATAAAAAGTCACGTAATGGATATATATCTGCAGACTGGCACATGGACCAGAAAAATATAAAATCGCACCCCTCAATCCGATTTGTGTATATGTAATTATTTGTTAAAGAATATTAATGAGATGATTTATGCACTTATTTTGATATTTTGTCAATATTTCAGTTCCACATTATTGATATTAACACCATTGTCCTTGTCTTTGTTTAAGAATGAAATATGAAGATAACGAACAGTATTCAATCTCGAAAGTCGAAAGAAACGATACAAATTTGGAGCAGAGCAAACAAGGACCTCAAAATTTAGAGGAGGGATAAGGTGCCATGGAGGAGTGAGCATCCCCTGCCGACCGGTCACACCCGCCGTGTGCTCCTTGTCATGATCCAAAAAAAAACCCGTAAAAATCCGTAGACAGTTCAGTGTATAATTATAAATAATGATCTAACAATTAGTATGAAAAGCGCAGTCACCAATTGACTCAATGATAGGTTGTATGCATTGTATAGACCATACATGTAAAACTTGCGAAATGATGACTTCAAACGAGATTGTTGATATCCTCACAAATGTTTCAGTTCATGACGCAATGTCACATTCAAATTTCTAAGGGATTTGCCGAACTTATTTCTCTTTATTCAAAAAGGTCTTTTGTCTTTTTCAAATATATTCATGGTAAACGTCCTTAATCTGCTTTAGAAAATGATGGATTAAAGGGTTTGAAAGCATCACCTGACAATCTATCCTAATATAACATTTACTAGAGTTAAATTCAGTTCCCTATAATTAACTAAGTTTCAATATAAGGTAAAACCTTTAATATGCTTTGTTTTACTAAATGTTTCACTCTTGAACTTTTCTTGAACATTAAAACTTTTATGTTTTAAATTCTGTATCAATGATTTATTATTTTTTGGAGGAGGGGAGAGATAATAAGTGAAAAAAAATAAGTGATATTTCGATTTCATTTCAAAAATTCACATGCTATAAACGGGGAAAACCAAATATAAAAAAAATGAAATTCGTGATTAAATTACTTTGCTTTACTATTTTTAAAACTTTGATACTATATTTAACTATATTTTTAAGGGAAATGGTGACGTTCATTGTAACCACTTTGAATGTTGATAACATATGTGTATATATTGTTGATAATGTTTAAAGTATAATTCACACCTATTGACCTTTGTTGTTTAAAAAATAAACTTGCAAAAAAAAATTGATCATTTTATTATAAATTCAATTTATAGTTTCTGTATAATCTATAAGATTGCAATCGGTTCATAACACTGGAGTAAACCTTATTCACAGGAAGGTGAGTGCGCATTCACGGGCAATTGTGACGTCAAAAAGACACATGAAATAACTATGTAAAAATGGTTGTAAAAGCAAGCTGTGTATCTGAGCAGAAAAAAATGGTAGACAAGCT